AATAGATACGTGATCTGAAAAATAAATACTTATTAATTCATTTTTTTCTCCATAATTATAGTGCATCATTTTTGTATATTTGTTTTATAGAAAACTATTTTTATTACTCTTTATCGTTTAAATACCTAATGGTTAACTTTTTTTTTCCATTTTGAACTCTCATAAAAACAATTTAATTTAATTTTTTTTTTTTTTTTAATACTCTGCAGACAATGAATGAATTTTATTTTTCTTATACGACAACTTTTAATTGTAATACGATAAGTAAACCAAGCCGGAATAAAATATTAGTTTTTTTTATACGCATCACGAAGGTTTTGTAAAAACTTTAAAAACACCTGCATTTCTCTAAAAAAAAAAAATAATAATAATAAAAACTTTATAATAAGAATAATTATTGATCCTTGGAGTAATAATAAGATAACTATTATAGTATTATTTAGAACTAAATTCAAAGTAAAATGTATATTGTATAACAGACTAGTGACAACTTTCGGATTATTACTTTCAACATAATATGCAGATTTCATCCTTTATACTTTAGTATACTTCAATGTTCGTTACATGTAACCGTAAATCGTTACATATTTCCTACAACAGCCGAAAAACATGTTTCTACAGTATAGGAGAGACCACGTATAATATCTAATGGCAAATATGTTTATAACGTATTTGCAAAATGATCTCTAAACATATTTCCAAGATCACTTAAAATACACATGACTATAATACAGTAAAAATAGTGGTGATGAATAAACGATATTAAATTCAAAACATATTTGGCATACTTAGAACTTTAAAATAAAAAAAAAATTTCACTAATACCTCGCACATAGCTTGTTTTATTTCATTTCAACATCGACCCGCTCTTATTGAAAAACCCTTTATTATGCATGATATACTATATTATACATTTATCAAGTGGGAAACACTGGAAAAAAAAAAAAAACGAAAAAATTTAAGTAATATATTAGTAAAATATTAAGGTTTTTTTTTCTGTGGACAAATTTTCTACTCGCAATTTTACTCAAATTTACAATGATAGCACTTTTTCTAAAAAGAAATTGGACTGGGGAGGCACTTAAGCGGGGTCATTTTTTAATTTTCCCAGAAGTTTTCCGGAAAGTGGGAAAAACGGGAAAATAGGTACAATATAAAACAAATAATATTAAAAAAACTATATAATGCATATGCAATTATTCTACCATTATGTGACATATATATATATTGTTGACAAAACAACAATATCAACCAAATTCCGCTCAGAATCATTTTCTTCATAAGCAATGGTTAATCGTTGCTTACAGATATACATTAAATTACCTATAGCAGTGACTGCGCTCGTCCCCATTATCCTAGGACAGCTTTTGAGTTTTGTAAAACACAGGTTAAATTAGATTATGTAAGTAAAAAAAAAAAATTATTTTTTCTGACAGTGAAAATTGGGCAATTGAAAATAAATTAATGCATGGTCAATAGGAAAATATTTTTTTATGTTACATATATAGGTTATATCAATGGACCCCCCCCCAAAAAAAAAAAAAATCCTAAAACCGCCACTGAGCAAAACTTCCATATAATGGTCACCGAAGCGACCGGAAATAATGACCGCTATTTAGAAGTGACCGTACTTTAAATATGACAAGACAAAGACACAACACTTAACGGGACCAAAAAAAAAATGATCGTTACATAGAGGTAAACCAATGTATTATAGGATCGTGATCGAACACAAATTGTATGATACGATAATCTCTGGGAAAATAGATTAGGTTAGGTTAGGTTAAGTTAGGTTGAATCATGTACATATTTTAATACATTTTAATGTACAAATATATATAATTTACATTTTTAATTAATATTCTAATACAATAATTATAAATATTTTATAATAACATGCACCTATTACTTAAATTATTAAACTCATTAATAATTTTATCTACTTAAACATTAGAGGCCATTTCTTGTTCTATGAAAAGTAAAATTAATGATTTCAAACGGGCTATTGTACTTCTTAATTTATTTTTCATACTATTTAATTTCGAAAATACCCGTTCACACAAACAACTAGTAACGGATAAAATGCTAAAAATATGTAGTATTTTAAAAAAAAAAAACAACTAAAAATATTATAAGTAATGGGGTCTTTTTACCAATTCAGCCACAAAAACACAGATTCATTAGTAATTTCTTTAGGATTATTGTTTTCTGTTGCGTTCTCGAGAAGTTTGATTTCAGCAATCAAAGTGTCTAGTGAAATTTTCGCAAACTTTTCCAAAATTGGCAGCTGTTACATTAAAATTATATTTTTATTCTAGTAACATCAGTTAAAATACGGACCCATACATATACTGTAAGACTTAAATTTTAGGGCAATAATGTCAGGGGGTCAACTACATGTCAGGGGTGCACGGGCATACCCGGAAGACCCCGCACAGCATGCCTATAACGATAGCATATTGTTCCCCCTACTTATAAGTAGGAGTGTAAAAAGACGGACATACTTCGCACGTGGGTGGGCCACTGTTTTATGTGAAAAGTTGGGAAGGTAGCGAGGAAATTTAATGTATATCTGTTTACACAATGAGATTAACCATTGTTTACGAAAAACGATTCTTAGGTGAATTCGGTTTATATCATTGGTTTTACAACAATACATGTGTCGCATATTATGATAAAATAATAAAATATGCGTCATATATTTTCTTTAATGATATTTGTTTAAAATATTGTACCTATTTTCCCGTTTTTTCCATTTTTTCCCCCCGGTTTTTCCCATTTAATATGAAAACAGCTAGGAAAATCAAAAAATTACCTTCCTAAGTACCACTCCGGTCAGATTTCCTTTTAGAAAAATTGTTAACATTGTAAATCGGAGTAAAATTAATGGTAGAAAAGTTGTTAAGAGAAAAAAAAAACAAATAATTGTTTCTTTTTAAACGTCATTGTGAATAAACTAATACATTCCTCGCTTTGCTCAGAATCTAAAATAACCCCGGATACCCATGGATTTTAACATGGATACAACTTATCGGACGATTTGTGTGTTCAATAACATTATAATTCGGCTCTATACTAGAACTGACAATACGGATTTCGGATAGTACGACGATAAATCATTTAGCCCATTTGTGGAATTGACACATAATTAATCTAATTTCTGTTTTTACTTTAAGTACCCCGTCAAGCGGCGTACAATATTATACAGTAAAGTATAGTAAAACTTCCGTTAACGGTCACCTACCTCTATGTAACGGTGATTTTTTCTTTTGGTGCCGCCAAGTGTTATGCATCTATTGGAAACCTCTAAAGGACGGTCACCTCTAAATAACGGTAATTATTTCCGGTCCTTTTGGTGACCGTTATATAGAAGTTTTACTGTACTATCAGTACAACTTAAACCCAAACATGTGTCAGTGTCATTGAGAAAATAATGTCCATACATAGATCCAAAATTTCCGGAGTCAATCACATTTATCCGTTAGACAATTGCGAGTTATCTGACAGGCAGAAAAAAAATTGATAATTGTCGATTAATGTCGGAAAACTATTAGACGAAAAATGTTTAATAATTATTATGATCTTCTAAGATAATACAATTTGATATGTCACATAGTAGTTTAATTGTGAAAGTGGTTTTGAAGAATATTCTCCGCGAGACATTACTAATCGTAACATACCTAGACATTTTTTAAATAGTAAGATTTCATAGACAAAAGTATCTAAAATGATGGAAAATGAAAAAAACAAAAAAAAACAAAAATTAAATTATATTATATTTTTCGTAAGTGAAACGCCATCAATGTTTTATTTAAACTGCGGATGGAAACGGCAATCGGTCGACAACAGATGGCGCCATCGAGTTCGAATTTTAAAGAATGCATATTATAGGCACATCCGAGTTGAGTCCCGCGTTCAGAAATCTACACTAGTTGTCTATCGTAATAATAATTAAGGTAACAGTTTAAAAATTTAGAAAATCAAAACACAATATATCCATTTTAATATTATCTAGAGGTTTTAAAATGATCCTCAATTAATACTTATATTAAAATCAGAAGTTCAGAAAAAAACGAAACAAAATTGTATTTTACAGAAAAAAAAAAAAATGTATAAAGGAAATAACGAAAGTACAAATCACTGGCAAAATAGGTCCTAAGTCCTAAGTTTGTAAAAATAAGAAGGAAAAAGTTTTATATCGTTTTTAAACGTTTGGAACCAACTATTACCTAGTGAAAGCTGGGACCCCCAACCAGTATAATACCCAAAATCCATTGGAACTCAGCTAGTGTGCTACCTATAAAAACCATTAGGGTCCGGGACCCAACTCAGATGCAGCTAATCTAATAGTTTTATTCGTAATATTTAACTAAGTACTTATTTTAACACAAGTGTATTTATTTGGTGGGTACATCATTGGCGGATATTTGGTTTCATCTGTGGGATGGGCTTAACATTTTTGTTTTATTCATTAGCGGAAACAAATATTTTTAGTCGCTTCTGACGCTTTCACCTACTAACTGTAGTGGCTACTCCTACTTGATACTAGCTAAGGCAACAAATATATATATAGGTAATAGGAACATAAAAAAATAAAATATTGAATAGCTACTAAATTATTTTAATTTTACTTGTACATATCTATTTTTTAGTGGAAATACATTAACAATTGTTTCAGTATTAATAGGTTTAGAAATTTCTTTTTCAATATATAATATTGGGGTGTTGTTGGACCTTTCCTGCTGCATAGACGTTCGAAGCCAAGTTTTTATTCAACACATGGTCGAAAAACTCATTTCACAAGTGGAGGAACTTATAGGAATTGTTAAAGCAACTTGAAATAGTTTATATAAATTAGGGAAAGTCTGTTTTGNGTAATACATCTTTAAATACATTCATCAAATCCTGAAAAATATACAAAATACAGGTTCACTTTTAATAAAACTAGAAAACTAGAGCATAGGTAGGAAAAAATTATTTTTCAGAAACCGATACGATACTTACTTTACTTTATAATGATCTACAAAGAAAAGACTTTCCTCAAAGTTTAATTGAAAAAATTGATCAACAGCTGTAGCCATTTGAAAGCTTTCAGTAGAAAATCTTTTTTCCAGATTTATCAAGATAGCATCAAATACAGGAAAGAAAGCATTTTTTCTAAAATAATCATAAATGGTTTCAATGGTGTCATTAATAATTTGTTCAGCACTTGTGGTTGCAGTAGTATCAAAATATTTTGTGTGGCTCTTGTATTTTTCTTTTGCATCCTAGTTGAGTAAATATTAACTTAAAATTATTATAATTATAAATAAATATGTTTATTAAGTCTTACCTTTAGATGGCGTTTGTATTGATATTTCATTGTATTTAGCAAAGATTTCTGTTTCACACCAAAGCTTAGAAAAATACTATGTTGTTCTAGAATTTTTAAGTCATCATCACACCTTCAATAATATTTTTAGATTCCCCTAAGGTTGCATTTTTTTCTTGAAATTTGTTAGACACAATATTAATATTAATACTTTATGTAAGATAAATAAATAAACTATAAATCGTCCACTTTTCAAATTTGTTAATATACCTAAAACAAATATATTGGAATTTAAATACTTTGAATCATTAATTATTACTTATTATATTATACCAATTACTTCATTTACTCCTCTATCATCATTTTTAATTTCTTCTTCTAAAGATTGAATAATTACTTTATAACTGTTTTTAACAGACTCTATATTTGGATAACGGCAATTCCATCTAGTGTCACTAAGTCTAATCATTGCCATATGTTTTATTCCTAGTTTAGTTTGAATCTCAGTTAATTTTTGGATTTTTTTGACGGATAAGAAAAATGTACGTACAGGGATTCTAAAGTGTTGAACACATGCCTTGTTTCCTAATATTAATATAAGTAATAAATAAAATCATGAAGATCTAAGATGTATACAAATATTCATTGCCTTTACATATTTACACATATCAATTACAATGGGGTACATTTTATGAGCCATACAGTGGGTATAAATAGTGTAAGGATATTGATTTTTTATTTTATTTTGTAGTCCGTTAAATTTCCCAGACATAACATTTGCACTGTCATATGACTAAGCAACTTTTTGTGGTTTAGAAGTTTATACTTTTTCGGGTACCATAATATGTAATGATATAAACTTTCAGCATCTTGATTCTTAGAACAATCTATAAAACCGAGAAATCTCTCAACAACATATAGATTTTTAACATACCTTACACATAATGCCATTTGTTCTTGTTTGTAACACCTATAAATTAATTTAATAAAAATGAATTAAGAAGTCCATGTATAAAACATAATTTATATTTCACCTTTATTTCATCACACATAATTCCAAACACCTCAACGTCTTCNTTTGTACTTACTGTTAAAATTGGTCACACAGGGCCTATTATTAAAGTTCCCAAGTCGGAAATGACATTTTTATCTACAATATTTTCAACACTTTTTTGTGTAGTTATATCAATGTCTAAACCAATATTTAAATCTTCATTTTCAGATTCCAGTGTTGTAGTTGACGAGGAATTTGTAACAACTAATTTTTGTTTTTTAACCATTAAAGACAACAAACATTCTTTTGGCCATTATTGAATTAATTATAATTTATAATTTAAAATTAATTGACTAATTCAGATAAATACACAATTTACACAAATAATATAAAATTATATTGTTTATTTGTTTAGCACGTCACTTACGGAAAACCACGCGTAGGTATTAAAAACAAAAAAATAAAAATAAAGGTGATCACTGTATACGCTCCAAAAACGTAATCGACCCTAATGCTGTGGCGGTCTGCAGCTTGCGTATTTATAACTTTACAGGTATCGCTAACAAGTTCTAGAATAATCGCTATTATCAATATATACCTACAAAATATGATTTCCCAACAACGATAAGCCGTGAATATTCCAGACCATTCTCGTATCTCAACAAAATAAAATAAAAATTATTATATTTCAATATTAAATATCAAATATTTAAACACATAATTTATTATTTTGACGTTTACATTCTGGCCCAAGTCCCCCCCCCCAAAATATCCACTACTGAGGTACATAAAATAACTATAAAATTGGTTCAAAAACGTGTTCAGTAAAATAAAATAAAAATTCAGTTATTTTGGAATTTTCACTCGTAATGAAAATTATTCAATACAACAATACCATAGTCTAGAATAGAGGTTTTCAACCTTTTTGGGTCCACAGCTCTCCTGAACAAATTTACTGTGTTATTGTACTATAGTTATTATAGACTTGGCTCCCTCTATAATAAACCACGATGCACAGGCTGAAAACCACTGGTCTAGAATTCAATCTTTTTTACTTTAATTGCTGTTGTGATATCTGTAAGTGTTAAAACTAATCTCTTAGTTATATTATTTTGAACAAATCATAAATGAAATAATTAAAAAATTGTAAAGGTGTAACTATTAAAAAAAAACAAAATATATTAAGAATCACTTAATTAATTGAAAAATTGACAACAACGTTAAAGTTCCACAATATTTAACTTCAATTGCATAATCCCAGGGACATAGAATACATATTATGTTGAATGTCAATTGCCAATGTTTGGTAATAATCATCCTTGAAAAAATAAATTTAAAATTAAGAAACTTTAAATAAAACAATGTATTTTTTAGTATAGTATAAATGCAGTGTAGCTCCCAACCCTAAGCGATTTGTTGTAATTTTTTTCCAAAATATGTGTTTTTGCAAAATTTCAAAATGATCGATTTTTCCAATAGTTAAAATTACAAACAATTTATATTTTGGGAATTTTTTTTTTTAGAATTGTTAATATTTTTTTTGATCAACATTTTAGTGGAATCAAAATTTACCTATCATACTTAATTTTTATATAATTATTAATAAACCAGGTAAAACTTAATTATAAAGTTATTTCAAATATTTGCAAATAAAAGTAACTTAGCATTATTGGTGTGTAATAACAGAGATTTCACTTGGGAGCATAAGTGCATTCATTCCGATAATATTGTTCATTATAAATTTGCTTTTAAAGTCTTGCTCGCAGATTTATACAAAAAATTAACATTTACAATTAACAAATCTCAATAAATAGTTCAATCAGTTTAAATTTGTATACAGTAAAACTTTCATATTTAATGGTCACTGAAGTGAAATAATGACCGCTATTTAGAGGTGACCAGAAATAATGACCACTATTTAGAGGTGTCTTATAAAGACATAACACTTGACGGGACCAAAAAAATGACCGTTACGTAGAGGTAACCGTTAGTAGAAGTTTTGCTGTATTAAGGTGCTTGTGATCATGTTTTTCTTATTTAAAACATAATTTCACTCGTACCTAACCTTCATACAGGCTGTATTGAACTCTGATTAAGTAATAATAATGCTACAAATCTTGGTAACAGAAATATTGTGTAAATTAATCATTTACGATTTTTTCTTTCTAGAAAAAAAACTAAAAATGATTTGATATAAATAATTACTTGAGGCATTAAGAGTTTTTTCTGTAAAAATGTTATTAAGGCTGTTGACATGCCTCTTCAAAAATAAGACTACTCTTTTCATTCAATACTTTGAAAATTTAAAAATTGAATGATTATTTTGATGTTAAACAAACTTCACTAATTTTACAAAAAAGAATAATATATTTTGAAATAAAAAAAGTATATATATAATTAGAAATAATAATAAATAAATAAATAATATCAATTTTGTTTTATTTTTACAATGAATAATAATAATTACAGTAATAATAATGATAAAAATGAGTCATAAATATTATAATATAGTAAATACAATAATGATGATAATAATATTATAAAATACTTTTTGAAATCAACATTTTATATTCGTCTTACACAAAAACGCACAAACAAAGTGTTCTAATAAAATCAAGATATTAAATCTTATATAACTTGAAATTAAATTTCTTTATTACTTTTTCCAACTCAAATAGATTTTTCAAAACAAAATAAAAAATTTAGCTAGAGTTTCATTAATAATTTATAAATATATATAAAAAACCTAATAGTTTTAATAATACAAATAATAATAATGATAATAATAATATAAATAATAATAATAAATAATAATTTGAAATAGATGTTTGATTGTTCACACAACAATATTGATTTAAAGAATATACATTATACATACACAATTTTTATTGTTCTAAGCAGATCTTGTATACTTATTAACTTGTCAATGAATTTATTAATTGAAATTGTTCGGAACTCGTTTAAAAAAGTGGTGATTTTGCTAAAAAAGTAGCAAATATTAAAAAAAAAAAATAACATGATAGTATAACTATTCAACGATAATAATTAATTTTAACCCTATAATCTCAACAACATAACGATGATATAATAGAAAATAAACTATAGTTTTTAATATTTAACTATAATAAATCACAAATATAAGAAATACTTATATAATATTAATATGATGATGAATAAAGAAAAATTTAATTAAGTAATTCACAATTTTAATAATTAAGATTTTAGTAAACCTTTTAATAATTAATTGAAAAAATAATAATATTAATAATAATAATATTAATAATAATAATAAAAATAATAATAATAATAATAATAATAATAATAATAATAATACTAAACTTTAATGGGATGTTCAAGTGCATACCTAAGAAAATATAATGTTCAAATAATATTATTACTTAGTTAGTCAAAGGTGCTCCTAAGTTATCAATCTCTCGTTGAGCTTTAGATATTTTTACTTTGTCTTTAGGTGTACCATCTTCTCCGGTTTCCATGGCAAACATTTTCATTTTTTCTTTAAAACTCAGTTTCTCTGGTACTGTACTGCCTGCCTTGTTGGACATTTGTTTCTGATGTTGTTCAGCTAATAAACGCTGTCTCGGATCCCTAAAGTAACAATGAAAAAACCACCCGGTTATTAAATAACGTTTGTCGAATTTGTAAATAAATAATATTATACTATTATATACCTGTACACTTCTTGTGATCCAATAACACCAGGTGTATTACCGCTGGTAAACTGAACATCGGGACTACAAGGCGATGCTAACATCGTTTCTGCTTGATCGATGAAATTCTATAGAAAATAATAAAAAGTAATTAAATCAAATAATTATTATTAATGATAAAATTTAAAAAATGTCCATACATCAGGATCTTCAATGATTTTCTCCAGAGTAGGCGATGGTGGCGAAGGTGGTACAGATGCCGGGTCCTGGAATGAAACACGTTTAGGTGTTGTGTTTGCATTTGGTGTAGTAACTACTCCGTTTGGCGTGGACGAAAGTACAGGTGGTCTGGGTGGTGTCACCTTTGTTTCCACCTGACTCATAATAGCATAAGACGATCCACGTTCAGGGGGCTGGGGTGGATCATTATTATTTGGACCACCTAATAAGTTGTCCAATCGTTGAGATGGTAGACTTCCTTGTACCGATGGAGTATAGCCATAACCCGAATTATCCAGAGATAAGTTATTAGGTGGATTTACGGAACGATTTAGACGATTTGGCACATTATTATTATATGATTGATTCAATAGTTGTTGTTGTTGTTGATACTTTAATTCTTCCTCCTTAAATAATTTTTAATAAACAAAAAAAAAAAAAACCATTAAATTTATATAAACATTTATATATTTAACCTGTTCACTAATTTAGAAAACAAATGAGAAATTAGGAAGGTGGAATATAGAGGGGAATTTAATGTATGTCTGTAAATAACATTTATCATTAGTAAAAAAAAAACGATTATGAGCGGAGTTTAGTTATATATGCTTTTAAAAACATACATGTACACAAATATTTTTAACTGAAGCACAACAAAAAAACAAAATGGAAAAAAATAAATTTTCCCCTTTTTCCAATGTTTTTCCCCGATTAATATAAAAAAGGTTTAGAAAATTAAAAATGACCACATTAAAATACTACCCAGACCCAATTACCTATTAAAAAGGGTATTACAATTTAAAATTAGAGCAATATTAATAATATTCAACATTTATAATAATAATATTTTTAAAACTAAAAACCAAACCTTTCTTTTGAGTTTTAATTCTGCTTCTCTTATGGCTTCCATTTCCACTTGTTTTGTTTTCATTTCTTTAAGTCTCCTCAATCGTTCTTTTTCATCACTACTGATTCTATTGTGATTATTTAAAAAAAAAAAATCAATTAAAATCCAAATGTTCTCTAATTTCTAGTTAAAATATTTTACCCATTTGAAGGTACTGGTTGTGGTCCTCTTAATGAACCATTCATATAATTATAATTATTGTTATTTGGTGTTCGAACTGTGTTTGCAGGTGGTGGTCTTCTATCACTTTGTTGTTGGGCAGTTCTCATCAATTGCTGAACTCTTTCGTTTGCTTCCTAATAAAATATATTTACCATATAGTATTCAGGTTATAAATTAATAAAATGCAAATCATTTATTTTACTTGATCATCCTCGTCATCGTCTTCACCTTCTTCTTGAGCTCTACGTTCAAATTCTTTTTCTAACCTGAGAGCTCGCAATTGTTCTTCCTGACTAACAGTTCTATTGGGACCAAGAGCAGTTAGTTCAC